ATGTCTGTGTCACACATTGTACTGAAACTGAATCTGACTGGATTGGTGCTAAGTTAAGAACAAAGCAATCGCCTAAAATGATTGACAAATACATTCAACATCTTTCACATTTATACATGCATACACCTTAATGACCAACTAACCAAGAAGTAGTAGATAAGTTGGGAAGAAAAAAGAAGCTTCCAGTTTTTCCATTACATTGCACATTCATAATTTATTAAATAATAATAATTTTATTCATTTCTAATGCACATCTTTACATGACTATGATCAGATGCACATTCCTAAAGTATATATTATATAAAAGAGAATTGAAAAAACTAAAGCACACAATCTCATATGATCAGGGATAAAAAACAGATCAGGATTGCATTCATCTGTCTGCCAAATCAGGGACATACACTCATAAAAATTAAATTCCGGATTGCCTAGGATTTTAAGCACCTTGTAAGTACCATCCTTAGGAAGGAGTTTAAGAAGTTTGGCTGTGCTCTGCCTTAGTTAATGATTAGTGATTGTACAAAACTCTCTTACCTGAGAAAACCAATCACTCAGGTTTTCTTCTTTCTTAGCCTCTAGACCCAGTCTGTAATTTGACAAACAAAATTTCACTCACACTTTTCTTTCAAACTTAAAAAAAAAAAAATCACGACATTTTTATTTAAGTTAAAACCCTTGGGTGAAAATTAGCTAACTCATCACAAACCTAGTGATTTTCTTAGCTCCACTGTCTGCATCACCATTCTCAGTCACTGTTTTTTCCTGCTTATTAACAGGTTTTGAATCTTTTTTAGCATTATCTTTTCCACTTTCTTTCTTTTTCTCTTTCTTTCCTCTCCCACCACCAGCAACATCTTCTCCTGTAAGATTTTTATACTCTCCTTTTAGCCTCAGTAGCTCTGCAACTGCTGCATCGACTTCCTCCTGAATATTCAGTAATAAATAAATAAATAAATAAATAAATATAAAATAAACAAAATTGATTAAAATCATTTTGTCATAAAATCACATTTCATGGAGAAACTCATAAAAATATAAACATTAGGAATATTCATTGTATATACAATGTTATTGTTCTCTGAGAGAATACTAAACTGCAAACATGAACAGTAATTTGTTTGCAAGCCAATCCATTGATGACTTTTTTCAGTTCTCAGCCAGACAATGAAATATCTGGTGCATGTTGAAAATATCAGCCTGTACCTTGGGGGCTCCACCAGACTTGAGATTGCGAACTTTGTCCCCTTGTGTAGTTATTTTGCTTTTAAGTTTTTCTACTTGTTCAGGAGATGCAGTAGGCTTTGGGGAGTCTGTTCCATTCATTGCAGCGGATGGTTTGACGCTTTCCCCTTTGTCTTTCTTTTTACTGTCACTCTTCTTTTCACTTTTCTTGTGGCCTCCTGTCTCCTGTTAAGTCAAAGAAGACACATGATGTTATCTCCATGAGAGACAAGGTGACATTGTGTTTAGGGAAATAGAGACCAGACTGAAAGTTCCTAATGCAAGTCCTGTTGGGATCTCTTTGATGTGCTCTTGAGCAAAACAATTCACTTTAACAGTTACTCCCTCTCCATTCAGGAGTTAAAAAGGGTATTGGAAAAATGTCTGTAAACTTAGCAAAATGCTGAGAAGGGAAGAGGGGTTTTCTATGATGGACTGTCATCCCCTACCGTGGGGAACAGCATTGATTCCCTTGTGTTTCGTGTGACATAAATACATGGACTACAATGGGTTTCAAGGCCAGTATGTCCATAAACTATATTGCCATTAATACATCAAGCCAATAAAACAAAAGATCATTCAAGACTGCAGACAATAAGAAATGTTTAGAATTTGACACATTCTTTGTTCTTTCAAACTTCCATCTTCAATTACAACAAGTTAACATTCGCCAAAGTGGCATAAAAAGGAGTTAATATGCATTACTCTATTTTAAGAATAATCATCAATAAAGTCCTAGGTCTTTAAAAATATAATAGATTATTCAAAATTTCGCGTTGTATAGCAACGGCAGCGACAGATAATTTGAGATGTAAATCAAATGACATGTTGCTCTAACTTCATTGTAAATACTAGCGATTTCCATAGTTATTAATACAACCAAATAACTCTTCCTTTCGCACAAAAACATAAACTTTTCAAAGCTTTTGGCTCCTAAATACTAAAAGATCCTTACTTAGTCGATCAGCAGAGAACGATCGGAAGCTAAGTTAATAAATTAATTCGAGCATTCACGATCATCTATCTAAGCACTAGCTCGCAAAACAAAAGCACATAGACATGACTCATCTCGCTTGCTAATAGGAGAAAAAAAAATCCAATCAAACGTTCTCATATTTACATGGCAACGAGAGAACACTCAACCGAACCCAAAAAATTTTGCATGTTTACAAACCAATATTTTCACGGCATGTAAACAATGGAAACATTCGATACGATCGATTGTAAGAGATGAAGCTAAATTCCTTACCTCTTGAGAAAAATAATTTCCTGATAAATATTTCCTAAAATCTTGTCAACGTGTAATACTAATCCAAATTTATTCTACTTAGATGAATATCGTAGAATTATTTCCCAATACCTTGTCTGAGTGTGCGAAACCCCGAGGAAATGTATCCACGTGTACCTCAAAACATATCTCGATCCCAGTCCTAATTTGCTACAGACTGGACATACAAAGAACGCCTGATAGAAATCTACCAAAGGCGGCAGTTCGCGATATATCACGGATGAATTATCCAACAAATAAATTGGTAAAAGTGAACCGATCTCTTTAAAGGAAACATTCTTTTTTTTCCCCTCTTACATTATTAGAGTGCGTCTTTGCAGTTTACCGCTCGCTGGACATGAGAACGAAATCAAGTATGAAAACACGAGCTATTCGACAAAAATCAAGTCGTTAACTTGAATTCGATTTCAAACAGTCACGAGGAAAGAGGTTGCTAATCATCTGGTATTATGAATTACGCTGAATGAGAGGGAAACAGAGTAAACAGTCTGTGAATGAGGCACTAGCTTACAAACGCTGACGTATTTCCAGTTATCTCTTTCCTCCGCTTAATGAAACACCACCAGGATTAGAATAATCACTGCGCTAAAATCTTCACCATCGCACGAATAAGTTTAGTTTTTAAGCACCTGATAAGTTGTTTTATGCAGGAAATTTCCCTCGACATTTTTACCGCTTTTTGGCTCACCACAAGTTCCTGATTGAGGAATAAAAACTACACATACGTCGAACTAATTTAGAAATAGTTTCGACGCTTGGAGACAAGCATCCTATGGGAGTGAAGGGATTGACAACACCAATAAAAACCTCTAGGTGTAAAAGAGAACAATTTTTCTCCAGTTTTGCCCCGCAGGAAACGTGTTAAGCCTGTGCACTGAAGTATGATAGATTTTTTTCCCTTAATTCAGGTTAAACCCTAGTTTCCTACTTAGAATTACCTTAGCTTTGGCACCTCCAGTTGGCGACGGTTTGGTGTGACCATCAGGGACAGAGAACAAGATGCATGGATTTTCACGGCCTGTGTAACGACTGCAATAAACACATCAACAGAACACTATTGCCACACATTAAGTTTTACAACTATGCTCTTTAGCCGATAATCTAGGACCGGCCTTTACACCTTAACATCAGTGTGCATATTCTCTATACTGTTCTCTACGCATTTCCCAGGGTGTTGATAGGGAGAATTTGTTGAACAATCAAGAGCTTTAGTTGGTAATCATTTCCTTAATTCTTCTGACTTTAAGTGTGATTCAGGGGTGATAATGGAGGGAGAAATTAAAGGCTAGTCTCTCTTCGGGGTCAAATGATTAAGTATTGTTATCAAAACACTTCGTCAAAATCACAGAGGAGGGGAGCAATTTCTTCAGCATCAAGGGTTCCCCGTAGCCATCGAGCCACCGCTCACCTTCAGGTACCTCTGAACATACCGATCAGTAGTGGAATAATTTAATAAAAGTTGAAGGAAGAGAGGGAAACTAAGCAAGCAAAGCAGTAAAGTGTATTGAGCAGCAACCGAAGCTATAACCAGAGAATCTACCCTTGAGCCCACCACATCAGATTGATGAAACCACTACACGGACTTAGTATCAACCAGGCCTAAATTACATCATAATAATGATTAAAAAAAAAAAAAAAAAGACGAGACCAAAGCGATGTTTCTTATTTCTTCTTCTTCTTCTTTTTTTTTTTTTTTTTTTTTTTAAGTTAGCAATTACCTAGGTGGCTCGTAAGGTTGGTCACAAATGAAATAGCCTCGCCGCTGAAGCTGGATGATGTCTCCTTTCTTCAGTGAAGCCATTGCAGGATCTCCAAACATTTCTGTCTCATGCTGTGAAGACCAAAAAACAAAAAAAACAAAAAACCCATAAGAAAAAGAGAGGATTCGCCTGTTGCTCTCAAAACTTGTATTAATACATGACTACCACCTGTGTTTCGAATTTATCTAAATAAAGGTTTCTTCATGAGACAGTTTAATTTTTAAATGTGGTATTGTTTTCCGCGCGTATGCTGCAAAAACTGAATCGCGTTTTCAATTTTGTGGACAAAACAACCATGATATCATTTACAAGAAAAGCTAGTGACTAGTATATTAATGTGGTATTCCAAGGAAGTTCAAGCTACTGAGTATGTGAGTGAAACCACATGCGACCATTCAATTGAAAGCTACTAATAATTTTTTTCATGCGATACTTTTCACCACACGGTACAATGATTTAAAGAGAGGGATGATTTGAGACAAGTCAGGGAGAAGTTTGCTGGTGGTCTCGTACCAAACTTCTCATAATGTTTTAACAGTCCAGTTTGTTGCGCTGCAGCAGTAAGTTTAAGTGAAAATCGTTGCACAAAACTGTTGCTTTCCACGAGTGCTCAGGTTTCCCACCTTAGAATCTTTGTTGATATAGTTCTTGAAGTCATCATTCTTTGTGAGAATAGGCTTGGAGATGACGTCATCGAATTCGACCGCGATCGTAGGAAGCAGTGGTGCTTTGGCAGACTCTGCGATCCATGTTAGTTTAGCCGTCTTCTTAAAATCCTGAAAAAATAAAATAACATTAAAACAAATTAGAATTTTGAAAAATTGGGTCCCGATGTAAACTAATAGTTGTCTAAGTTGTGGAATTATATTTACAAATTTGCTCAAAATCAAATGTGTTAATCAATTTAAGTTTTTAGGTTGATCCAATGATTTCCCATACCTTGTTATCGAGATGCAACTCTGCTTCGACTGATTTCACTCCTCCAGATGGATTCCTGAGGAAAAAAAGACACCAGAATATAAGAACAGAATGATTTTCGAGTAAGAGTTGGAAATCGGGACTATCCAAGTACATAGTCTCACAAGCCAGCTCTTGACGACTGAAAGTTTAAAACAGAACAAACTATAAACGAAGAATGCAGGTGTCTTGATGAGGAAGCTACTGGTAGCTTGTTCCAAGCGTTCAGTCAATGAAAAGAAGCAAAATAGTAAATGGCACGATGAAAACCCTGATCACTGAATGAATGCCTGGAAGTGGTCAAATTAATGACGGAAACTCCGAATGGTCATGAGGACAAATTTGCTCTTGTTAGCTTGCCGAGACAATTACTTCTACGGCTACGTACCTACACGCGAAGGAAAACTGTGTATTGGTTGCTTCGACGTAAGCCGAACGTGACACCACTTACTTGTTAATCTTTGTGACCTTAGCGTTGCCCCAGTTCATTAGTGTGACCATTTCCCCTTCAGAAAGCGCGGCAGCATCCTCTCCCTCGATGAAAACTTTTGGCCCGTACCAGACTTCTTTGCTACCCACGCTGGGGTTCTGTTCAGAGACAAAAATAGTTACTTTGATGTCAATCTGGTAAAACCAAAACGGAGTGCAAGTGATTACACGAACCAGTCAGAACAAAGGTGGATATCTCCAAGAGCCAATAATTAAGAACTAAGAGAAAAGAACACGAAGACTGCCTTAAGTGCGGGAAAACGCGACTGACGAAGTCATGACTGCAGCTTCATATGTGTACTTGATTGGTTAATGGAGTGCAAGTTTTTATGGACCAATCATAGAGCGAGGTAAAGCAAGGAATCTCTGATTACATTCGACGCCCGACAGTTAATTTCTTCATGATCAAACAGTTCCGTGGTAAATGAAAAGTAGAAGTAAACAATTAAAAAAAGTCAACCTCTACACGTTTGAGTTGGATTCTTATCAAGAGCGATCACTAGGAAGTGCGTAAACTCAATAAAGAGTCACGATGTCGGACGGCAACATAATAGCCTTCTTTAAAACGTTTCGTAAAAGGAAAAAAAATCGCATGGATAATTACAACGTACCTTAGGATGCAACGGGCATAATTTCATCTCCTCTTGGGCCTCAGGGATATACACAGGCACAACATCGCTCTTTGAGAGAGCTGTGTATCTTGGTGCTATGGGATCGATGACCTAAGAGATGAAAAATAAAAGCGAACTTCATTAGAATCAAAACATACAACAAAACTGACGCACCTTTCACTTAACCTAAAAATTCACCTTCTTTCGACAAAGAATATTTGGTGAAGAAAATGTGTTAAAAACAAGATTTTGAGGAATTGAACTCGGTTTTTTTCCCTTCAAACCTTTTTGTTAAGAGCCCAAATCTTATCCCACTCCATATGAACATTCGCTTTCGATGAACCCTGAAATAAAAAGAGGACATAAAATAAATTGATGTTACAGTGGAAGGCGTTCCATGAAAGCCATTGCTTTTCGGCCCCATTTTGAAAAATAAGGCATGGCACACGGTTATAAGATTCACCTAAAAAATTATTATTTCTAGGATTTTTAGCACAAAAAAATCTCAAATCATTTAGCAAACCCCATTCTAAACACACGTAGTAAAGGGTTCTAAGCAAGTATGCGTCAATCAACACTCTACAGCCAAACATCAGCGTACATATTCTTCACACAATTCCTTACAGGTTTCCTATGATACTGACAAGGAGAATTTGTCTAACAATCTAAAGCTTCTTGAGTAGGTGGTCATTTCCTATATTCTCATAGCCTTTGAAGTTCGACTCAAAAAAGTAATGTTTGGAGAAGTTAGATGCTAGTCACTCTTAGGGGTTTAAGTGTTAACGTAATGCAACCTAATGTGCGTCAATTCTTACCAGCAAAACGTCAACTAAAATTTATTCCATTAGGAACGGGTTTTAAACTGCAAACAATTCAACACGATGTTTTTTTCTTTTTTCACTAGTCTCTCATATCAGCAATTCTACAATTTTAGGTGATATCCGTAATTTTTTCAGGAACTAGTCTACAAACTTGCTCATTTGTTTGCAAAATCCTTATCTTACCTGCAACACAATAAACTCTCTCAACCCTTCCACAGTCATTCCTCGTCTGAGCACGCCACGAACTGTGGGAAATCTTGGATCTTCCCTGAGAATGTCATGAAATCAGAAACAAACTTCAAGTTACATAACTTAAGGCCTTTTGAAGAAGAAATTCCTTCATGTAAAAGGGAGGTGAAATCAGAAAAAAAAAGAAGAAGGAAAAACAAATCCAAATAAATAAAAATTGATATAAACAACACAACACCAGCAAATGGTACGAAATAAACTGCACGTAACACTCACCATCCCTCGACATATCCTTGATCTACGAGGTAGGTCAGCTTTCTTTTTGACATGACAGTGTTTTGCAGCGTGAGCCGGCTGAATTCATAAATATATGGCTTTCGGATGCCTGTAAAAAAGAAAAATAATTGTCAGAAGACCTTTGTTTAATTAACTGAATAACATAGCCTCAGGAGTTAATGCCAATTTCCAAAAAAACAGGTGGCTAGTCAAACGCACGTTAACCCTGCCTTTCGTCAACATTCGCTCTGACGAAGGGCCAACGCTTGAAACGTCAGCTTTTGAACGCCTTACGGTGGCATATTTACGTTTCCAACTGAATTGATAATATTAAATTGCCCTGTTATACTCTCCCACCGACGCAGCACCACATTTTCTCTAGAAAATTACCCCCTTTACTCTTTCGTCCACATTCCCTGATAATTTACCAACAGGGGTTTCGATAAAAGCCCGTTACAGGCAGTATACCGCTGACTGTAAGACCTCTTATCGCCTTCTGTCGAGCATGCGTGCGGGCTCTTGTGTTGGGTTTCGCCTTTAGGCCCTTTTCCGGGCAAAACCGCCGATTATATTATCGGCAGCGGCTTATGGAAAAAAGTTTTTAAAACCCTCGACTTGTACTCATTTATTACCCTAAGTGGAGACAGACACGTCCAGAAAATTCTAAAATCCTCCGATATAAGTAACTGAATTGACATAAGCACATGCAGAGTGTAATCACGGCAGAACTACTTACCCAACTGCTCAATAAACCAATAATACTGTGGATCACGATCATGGTACTCTGTGGTTCTCAGGGCGTGAGTTACTCCCTCAATACTGTCCACTATCGGACAAGCGAAATCGTATGTGGGATACACTCTGTTGAAAAAAAAATTACTTTATAGTCAATAATCCAATACAAAGGGGCACTTGGTGCCCTAATGGCCTTCAGCTCCCTTCACTATCACTTTGCGCATCTTTATTCAACAATCAGGACATTCCTAGTCACGTGTGTCAACCTCGTTTAGTTTCCACTGGTTCTTTGCGATATGCCTAAGTTCACTGCGTAAGGTCGTTTAGTTTTCGCGACCAACTTCAGGTATGAGTTTGGCTGCTGAAGTGTTTTTAGTTCTGGGTCTTTGACGTTTATCTAAATACAAACGTTCCATCACGGAGCAGTACATCGCGGCTTGGGCCCTTTCACTTCCAAGATCTAACGAGTAATTCTCCCTAATGTCTGTCATACAGTCGTCATGCGTTATGATGTTAGTTCTGATAATTTGCTATCAGATCAACTAAGAATCCCCTTGTTGATATATTTTTTTATTCTCATCAACTGTCTGCTTTCAATTGTATTGATATTGTAGGGAGAAAGTCTCTCTTGGTCACACGTGGGAGTTAACTTCCAGAGGTGACGAACATGTAACTTCTCCCCACAATATCAATATCGAATTTATCAGGTAGAGGTTGTGATCTCTATCTAATACCAAATTCTCCTAACTGATTCACAACGAAAAGTGTAGCAGCTAAAGGGGAGAATTAGTAGTCAGATCTTAGGAGTTAGAGGGTTAAAAGGATAAAGCTGAGGGAACACAAAGAAAAGGAAAAAAGGCGGCCATACTTGTATTTTGTTCCAGTTCGCACATGTTCCTCTGGCTTACATCGATAAATAGTTGGATCTCTCATGCAGCCATTTTCTGACTGGTAATCAAGCTTGGCTCTTAGGGCAAATCTTTGGCCATACTCTGTTCCTTTCTTCATCTCCTCCCAAATTTCAAGGTTCTTCTCTACCGCTGAGAAAGCAATTGCAAATGGAATAAATAAGTCCAACAAATGAGAGTTTCAGTAAAGTGAAATGTAGAGACAACGAGAAATAAGTATTGTTGTGGTTATGTGAGTGCCCCAAAGCGAAGTGACATTATTGCTTTTTTTTAAATCGACCACCTAGTTTAAGATGAACCATCTTCCCAGAAAGTATGCTGGACGCGTGTCGCATGTATGAGCCTAGTAGTGGCCTAGCACACCACAGAGTTCTCTGTTACTCTGAGGTAGAGCATCAGAGCGCGGATGATCGTTCATAACTACAAAAACAATGCTGCATTGACAATATTTCTAAATTCAATATTACAAAACTCACAGTTATCCCTGTTGGCAGACTTGATACGCTGTTCTCTCTCTTCCTTCATCTTGTCTGCAGCAGTGTCATCTGCATAAGCTTTTCCCTCTCTGATCATCTTCTCAGCAAACGTCATGATTGTGTCAAAGTGGTCTGAAGTGTGCGTGAACATATCTGGTTTGACCTTCAACATTTTGAGATCTTCCAGAATGACCTAGCCAAAAAATAAATTTAATTAAAATACGCCATGATTCATCAATTGCGGGTCGAGAATAAACGATTCTGTTTTGGGTGTTGCTGTTGGTTCACTGTGCTGTAGCAATATCTTAATCGAAGTTCAATCTACCTGCTTTAAGACGGAGTGATTTCAAAGCTTTTCGAACTATTCTTTCATAACAAATGAAAAAACCTTGAAAATTTCAGCCTATTGTACATACTTATACAAATTCCACCCACATCCATTTACTAAAAGTTTACCCACACGACCCTAGACCAACAGATAACCAAAAGATTACCGACTGTGGGCTTACAGGTGTGCTTAAAACTGACAGCCGTATGTCTGCCAAAAGTGAATCAACCGTGTGATGACATAATTTGTTTTGTTTTGTTTTGTTTTTTTGTTTGTTTGTTTGTTTTTTTGTCAGGGAGTTGTTCTCCACAGTTGCCACAAGATGACATCAAGAGAAATCTTGCACTGTCCTTAAAATCCCAATGAATACTGACCTTCTCAAATTCAGCATTCTCCTTAGCAGGGTTGGTATCATCGAACCTCATGATCATTTTGCCATCATACATGTTCTTGTAATATTGATTTAACAAAGCAGCTTTAGCATGGCCGATGTGAAGATAACTGGAATAAAATATACAATGTTAATGGTTGTGAAAAAATTCTTATAGAAGGATAAAGCACTAAAAATATACTTTCTGTACAACTCTGACAGGTGCAGTTTCATACTGCAATTGCCACCATGTTTTCAGAATGAACATGGTTTTTAAACCCACTTCAATGTGCTTGAAAAATATGAGAAACATTGAGTGTTGGACTCAAGGAGTCAATAGTTCAATTCCTACTTCATTTCTTTAACCTTGCTCTTTTTCATTTGGACTATTTCATGTCCATTGTAGCTCATGGATTTCCTCCTGGGCCTAATTGCCATAAACAATGCTGTGTTTCAAATTTTCGTAAAACAAAACACATACACCCAGCTGTAATTTTTCCCCAAGCCACTCCCAGCCAGTGATTCAGTTCCATTTTACCATAATGCTTATAAACCTGTCCCAGAAGTGACCAACATGCAACTTCTCCCTCTAATATCGATACATTTTGCAGCAAAAAGGTAATAAGAAATTACTCAAACTCATCAGGAACAAGTTTTTATCTTGATCTAACACCAAATTCTCATAACTAATTTACATGGAAATGTGTTGCAGCTAGAGAGGAGAATTAAAAAAAAATAAACAAAAAAAGGAACACAAACATTCTACAAGAAAAATACAAAGTGGACACAATTCTGAACTTACCCACTAGCCTCAGGTGGAAACCTTGTCACTACATTTCCCTGGGATGCTCCAGGAAGATTGACATACTTGCCTTCTGACTTCATTTTTGTCTGAATGTAAGGAACATTGGCAAATTATTTCACCAAAAGTTCAAATAAAATATTGATGTCTTAATTTTTCAAACTCAAATTTAAGAGTTATAATGAACTTCAGATTCACGCTCAAGGTCTCTGCATGATTGGCTGAACTTGGGAAACTCTTTGGGAAACTTTATGTATTGCTAGCCAAGGGCTACCTGTAATAAATTACAGTTACTGTAGCATCTCAACCAGGAAGAACAGCACATACTGATAGTTACTTCCTGTTATAGAAACCGAGATACGGTCTAGTTGTTTACATTATCAACTCAGTTTATAACACTTAATTACCCTTAATAATCTTTTACTGCTGCCCAGTAATTTAACCTTACTGTTGATTCTGCAGATGGTAAATACATCAAAAGATATAACTGATGGTACAATTTGTCATTGTCAAGAGTGTTCAAGTTTGCACAATATAAAACACTTACACCCAATTGAGAAGGATCAGTTTGAGTCTGACTTGGAAGTTTGTCTGAAACATTGCAGAACGGTGGCTGGGCTCCACAAAATGTCAACCATCGGGTGATGTGCTCAAAACTGCAACCTGGTTGGCTCAGGGTTTCAACTTTGCCCTTCACTGAAAAGAAATGAAAAGTTTGAGCAACAAAGTAAAC